CACTGCTCTGGGGCAGTCAGGGCCTCTCCCTCCTGGTTCTGCCTTTAGCAGAGAGCAAACAACTTGATAGCCCCACGTGGTTCACAGCTGGACGTTGTTTTAGGCCAGGCTTGATGAGAGATGAGCTTTGGGTGCTAAGGGGTTTGTGTGGACTGACCTTTAAGTCAGTCATCGAAGATGATGTGGCAATAAAACCTCTCTGCAGCTGCCTTGAACAGGTATCAGCAGTGACAAGTTTTAGCACATGCTCCTTTCAGACCAAGGACACACTTCATCTAAAGAGGCTCTGCCTCCAAGGCTGGTACTCAGGTGGAAGGAAGCCATGTGAGGGATGAGAATCTCACACACATTGTGCTGCAGCTGTGACATGGAACTCAGGACTAGATTTCTGCTTTAACAGGAGTGTAAATGTTCAAATAATTCACTGTGTTTGCTCTGTGTGCTGCTGAGTAAGGTGCTTGGAGAGCAGAGAGATTCTGGTTTAATGCTGCACCGTATTGAGAAATGTTTCCAAGGAACTCTTAGCCATGTGCTTCACTGATTGGAAATAAATGTTCTGTTGGGGTTTGTCTCTGTTGCACCTACAGACTATGGAGAGGCAGAGGACTCGTACACAAAGGCCCTGCAGATCTGCCCAGCCTGCTTCCAGAAGGACAGAGCTGTTCTGTTCTCAAACAGAGCTGCTGCCAAAATGAAACAGGTGAGTTTCTGTTTGCTCTGTGACACTGTGGGTTGGTTCTGTGGCAGGTGCAGTAATGGAGTGACTGAGGTGCATAAGGGAGGGCAGTGGACTAAAGCTGTTTGCAGCTTTTGCTCCCAGCAGAGTTTCTGGCACACTTGGCTCACTGAGGATGAACACAGAACTGGAAGTTGCACTGGGAACAGCTGTTCAAACTTGCTCTGATACACGATGCTTAACACACTGATTTTTCTCCCAGTCTCTCTGTTTTACTGACACTCAAAGCTGATTTGGAACAGACCTTTGACAGCATGTTCAGTGTGTGCAGACCCTGTGTTAGGTGGTTGGGTTGTCATACACTTAGTTACCTGGCTCAAATGCTTTGAGACACAGGCAGGGCTGCCCATGGTGGTGTTGATTCAGGTACTCAAACCCTTCACAGCTGCTGTGTGCTAGGACAGACCTGCAGCAGGGCTACAGCTTTCTCCAGAGGTTTCTATCCCTTGCCAGGGACGTGTGCCTAGGTGGTACCAGAGTCAGCCTCAGGTGGCACAGAAGGCAGAGCACACAACCTGCCTGAGCAGGAACTCTCACTGCTGTAGGAAGAGTTGATACCAGAAATTCAGAAGGAATTCCTCCCTATTTGTGCCTTTGTTTTTAAGATTGAATCACTGCAGAAGAATAGCACAGTAACTCCTGCTCAGCTCACCCTCCTGCAGAGGGAACCTCCTTCCAGTGCTCCCCCAGCACTCAAACAGCTGCAGCTGTTGAGCAGTGCACCTTGCAGCCAGATTCAGGCATCAGGAAATTCTTACTCAGAGTGTTCTTGTCTGGCTGCAATTGTCTGACCTCCTGTTGGATACCGAATTGTTTGAGCAGGCAAGGGGAGAATGGAATAAAATCTGGTGCATCTTTCAGATATGAAAGCTGTGAAATGAAAACACTCCTCCTAATCTCAGTGTTAACCCTCTGCATTCCTGGGAGGCTAATCCAGAAGTCCTCACAGGAGCCCAAGATGATACAAGACTGTGCAGGGTCAGTGCAACCTGACAGACCAGCACATACCCTGAAAACACATTCGTGTTATTAATAACTTCCCCACAAGTTTGCTCTTCCACACCTGCTGCTCCCATTTTGGCTTGTGAGGCAGTTCTGCCCTGAGACAGCTCCTGTTTTATGGAGGAGAAAACAGTTCCTTGGGAGCAGAAAGGTTCTTACTACTTAACTCAAGAGCACCAGCACAGAACAGCCTGATGTTTTACTGAATCCCTTCTAATTTGGGTGGAAACAGATCCCTGGCTCAGTTCTGCTGCCTTTTCCTGTGTCACTGTGAGCAGCCTGCCTGGCTCTCAGCTTTGGCTGTGGCTGTCTGGAGCTCTAAAATCCTGTCACACCACTCGTGGAAGTCCTGTGCCTTGTCCCTCTCAGAGAAAGTTGTCAGTGCCTCAGGCAGGATCAGCTTTCCCAGTGCCTTAGCTTGTGCAGACAGGGATTCAGCTGGGACTCTTGGGAACAGGCTGCTCCAAGCCCCTCATTCCTGGACAAGGTGGAGGAGCTCTGCTGGCTCAGCCCAGGCCTGCAGGTGTGCACTGCAGCTCCTCAGCAGCACCACCCTGTCAGCCAGAGCAGAGCCACGTGCTGCAGCACCTCCAGGGTGGTGACTCCACCCCATCCCAAAGCATGGCCTGAACCTAACAGAACTGTTTTGTGTTGTAGGACAAGACAGAAGCTGCCCTGAGTGACTGCAGCAAAGGTACCTCTTTCTTCTCTCTGTGCTGCTCTTGTGCCAGATCTTTCATGCATCAATTATGCCACTCAGTGCCTTCCTGCAGAGCTGTAATTTGGGGCATAAAGGTCTTTAAAGAATCCAAGGAAAAAGCTGCAGTGGAAGACACCTGAACCTAGAATTATTTTGTAAAATCTCTATCAAACTTTCCCTGTTTGGAATAATTTCCTTTCTATTCTCTTGCACCAATAAAACTGTTCATGCTTGTTTTTAATAGGAAAGTCTTTTCTGTGGAAACTGTTTCCTCACACCTCCTATTTTAAACCCACTTCCACCTGCCATTCCCCCAAGCTCTTGCTTTAATCCCAGGTGCCAGAGAACTGTGAGGCCTTACAGAGTTAAAAACATTACCAAGTCCCTTTTCTGCACAGCTTTTGCTCTGTCACAAGAGCTTATGCTCTCCTGCTCTTGCCCTGCATAGTCTTCTCTCTGCACCTTCTGGTGGAATCATTTCAGCTGTGCATTGCTCCCACCCACTCAGCCATGCTGCACTGTTTGTCAGGCTCCCTGTGGCAGTTGGGGAGAAGTCCAAGTTACCCCCAGAGAACTATCCCCGTGGCTGTGTGCCAGTGTGGCCCAGGGAGTGTGCCATGCTGACAGAGGGAGGACCCAGCCCCAGCTGGCCCCTGCCACTGGGGCTTGCCTTGCTGTGCTGCTGCTGCAGCTTGAAAAACACTTGTGCTCCCTCCGTGGTGGCTGAAGGGGAATCAATGTGCTTTGCAGCAGTGAGACTCAGACTTGCCAGAGCCTGACACTCCCTGGGGAGGTGGCTCACAGCTGCAGTGCAACACTTGGAGCACAGCACAGCAGTTCACTCTCACCTGCAGCTTGCTGGCTGTGGCATTGCCTTTGTCCTTCCACAGGAAATAAACTGCAGTATTTAGCTAGATAATCCTGGGTTTAATTGTCCCCAGAACCATGGTAACGGGTTAGTGGTTATAAAATGGACAGAGCTCTCTCAGTGGTGAAAAAATCTTTCCTGCTCCCTCGTTCTGTGATGAAAAATGGATGAAGGAATGAGGAATTACCATTTGGAGGTCACTGTTGAGTTGAACGTTCAGTCTGAACTGCTGCTGGGAGCAGCCACGGCTGCCAAGGGAGTGGGGAGAGGAAAAGCTCCAATTCAGAATGCATTCACATGTATTCATAATTCAGGGCTCAGAAAACTTCCATTCACTTTGACTCTAACATGTAGAGCTAACAGAGCTGTTTGTGGATTCCCAGCCCAGTTCTGACTGTTTGATATTAAATTCAGAAGAGCACCAGTAATTCTCCTGGAATTTATCTCAACTTGAGCTGAGCTAAGCATGGAAATGCTTATTTTCCCTGCCCTGTGTGTCTGTAGGTATATTTAGCTGTAATCTAATAACATACACTTGTTAAGTATACAAAAGCTGAAGATATCTTACAGGTCCTTAGGCTTCCTGAAGCATCACTTAGAACCTCTGCACATACAGTGCTGCAGAATCAAATGTTTGTGCATTATAAATCACTTCCATCTGTGATGGATTGTAGATATGGCATGAAATATCATCATTTGCATTTCCCAGGCAGCTGTTTGCTTTTCTGGGTTCTGACTTAGCTTTTACACTGTGCCTCTGCTTGGTTCTGAGCTGCATTATAGGATAGCTATGAAAGAATTCGTTTGGGGGATGTGGAAGTGCTGGAAGTGAAATGCTGTGCTTTGGTTTTGTTTCCTAGCTGTGGAATTAGATCCTAACTATATCAGAGCCTTGCTGAGGAGAGCAGAACTCTATGAGAAGACAGATAAACTAGATGAAGCTCTGGAAGATTACAAGGCAGTCCTAGAAAAGGACCCAGCCGTGCATCAAGCCAGAGAAGCTTGCATGGTAAGCCTTGAAGTATTGTTGACCTAACTTTGACCTGGTTCTGACTTTCTTCCCTGTTCTAAATATTCAGTGCAGCTTGTGTAAGAAGCAGTGCAGGGTCAGCTCCATCTCTGCTCTCTGGGACAGTGACAGGACCCAGGGAACAGCTGGAGCTGTGTCAGGGGAGGGTTAGGTTGGATATCAGGAGAAGGTTCTTCCCCCAGAGGTGTTTGGGCACTGAACAGCTCCCAGGGCAGTGGGCACAGCCCCAAGGCTGACAGAGCTCCAGGAGTGTTTGGCCAATGCTCTCAGCACTGGGTGCATTGTTGGGGTGTCCTGGGCAGGAGTTGGATTTGATGATCCTTGGGGGTCCCTCCCAGCTCAGGGTATTCTGTGAGTGAGGAGTGGCTGGTTCTGCTCAGGCTGGTTGGAATCCCCTGAAGGTACAGATATTATCCTTTGTTCCTCTGGCACACCCTGATTTTCTCTGTGCCTCTGACAATCCCACACTAGAGCCCTTGCTCAGTCCCCAGTGGAGCTTTGGGCAGTGCTGCTGTTCTTCCTGGCCTGCAGTCAGGAGCAGTTTAGAATGAGCAGCTTTTCTGTGGCTGGGAAGTGTTCCCTGCACGTATGTAGTTAGTGTGTGTGAGGTGCAGGAGCTCTGCTGTAAGGTGACGTGCCTCTGCTTTGCAGGAATCCCAAAGCACCTCTTCCCCCTCACTGGCAATGAAAGTGATTCATCTAGAGAATCTGCAAATTGGCTTCATTCACTGCTGGAGCCAATCTTCCTCCTTCCTGCCCACAGAAATGATCTCACATGCTGCTCCGGGGAATGTCATGACCTTGTTAAGTGGCAGTTTAAAAATACTAAAGACACAATGGTTCTTTGCTTTGATTCCTGATTTGTACCTGCCCCAATACTGCAGCAGTGTTCACATTCTAGGAGTGCAGAGCTGTGCTCTGATGTCAGTCCTGGGGTCACACACCTCAGGCATTTCTGCCATCTTCAGCGCCAAGCTAAACAGTTTGGAATTGGAATGTTTTGTGGTGAAAGGATCCCTACTGCTGCTTTCCCAGAGACTTTAATGACATGGTACCAATGCTTAGGGTTTGTTTTCTGCAGGGCAGAGAAACTGGTTCACCAGGAGCAGCTGTGCTTTGAGATAAGCATCAGAGCCAGCAGATAAACAGGTGTCCGTGAGGACATCCAGGCACATCTCTGGGGGGAGAAGTGCTGAGGCTTGGGAACAGCAGTGCTCAGGGATCTGTGCCTGCATGTTGCTGCTCATGTCCAACGTGAGAGACACACTACACGTGCCAAACTCCTCCAGGATCCAGCAGATCCCACAGCCACAGTGCAGACTGGCTGAGAGCCTGAGGACAGCCACATGTTCTCCTGCAGGCACTACAGGAGCTGGATTTGCTCCCTATGGTCCTGCACTGCCTGGGCAGGGGCTCTGGAGTCAAACATCTGATCTCCCTGGGGCAGTGACAGCAGGAGGACAAAGTTCCCCAGGGTCACTGTAAGTGGCAGGAAGGAGCAAGATTAGGAAATTAATTCTGTAACTACGTTAGAAGCCAATTATCCCCAGAGAAGTATATCAGGAGTGCATTCCACACTGATTCCCATTGTCTGCAGCTGCTTCCAAACTAAGATGGAAGTGTGGTTTGACACAAGGTTCCATTTTAAGCCATAGGAAGTGTATCCTGGGTGTATGGATGGGAATTCCATGAGCTTAGCCCCAGCATTATTGCAGGCATGGATCTGACTCCAGTTTCTCTCCCCACAGCGATTACCAAGGCAGATTGAAGAGAGGAATGAAAAACTAAAGAAAGAAATGTTGGGTAAGTAGCATGGACACAAACCTTTCAGAGAGTCTGTGAGGGATGGAAATGCACGAATGGAATCTCTTGCACAAGAACCAGCTCAGTCTGTGTTTGGATTCCTGGAGAGAAATCCCCCCTGAGTGGTGTGAACAGCATGTGGGGCAGGATGGTGTGTGGCCTTGTGTTCCTCAGCCTCTGTGCATGACAGGATCCATGAAACTGTCACCTGGAGTGTTCAACTCATGGGGTGTAAATGGGCAGGTGATCTGATGCTCTTAGCACTGTGCTGGTCACCAGTGTCACAGACAGGGGTTTCTGTAACACACCTGAGGTGAGGAGTGTGAGCAGTGTCCAGGCTCATTTCCTGAAGTGTTCCAGGATTCCCTGTGTCCTGCTGGTAAGAGAGGCAGCAGTGAACCATGGAGGCCTGGGAAGGAAATGCTTCCCAAGGTTTACAAACTGCTGCTGTTTTGCCTGAGGTCATGGAAAATCCCTCCCAGCTGAGGAAGGAGGTTTAGATGGGAGCTCTGGAAGGAGTGGAAAAGACAAACGACATAGTGTGGTGGTTAGGAGATGTCTTTGGATTGTTGTTGTACAATGTATTTGGTTTAGGCTGTTTCCACTTTTCTTTTCCCATTGCTAATGCTGTTTACCAGCTGAGTCTGTGTCAGGACAGTTGCCTGTGGCAGTGTGGTGGAGGATGAGCTGACTGCAGGCTGCCCAGGGCCAGGTGTGCCTCCTTGCCCTCCCTGGGGAGCAGCTCAGGTGTGTGCCTTGTACTCCAGATTTCTTGGTTCCAGGAGAGCAATGGTTCCAGATGCATCCTAACAGCTCCAGGCCAGATCTGTTCAGGAGCACTGGCACTAAACTCATCACAACAAAGTCTTTAGGAAGAATGTCCCAGCTCATGCTTTGGCTGCTCTGAGGTTTGGCTGTTGAATGTGTCCTTACCTCAGTGGATCAGTCAGTGCTGGTTGTACTCAGCCTTTATTCCCTCAACTCACACAGGCTCTGCTGTCCCCAACCAGCTCCCACTGCCATGAAACTGGAGATGTGTACAAACAAACCCAAACAACTGGAGTGCATCTTCCTCCTTCCCCAAGTGTGTTTCCTGTTTTCCAGTGCTGCAGCTCATTACCACATAGTTTGTCAGAAGCTGAAACCACTCTGCAGTGACTATGTGTAAATAAGTCAGAGTACACATTCTTGGCTGGATTTGCCTTCCTGACTACCTCAGGAGGAATTCTTGTGTGCAACTGGTGCTGCATGTGACTGGTGGGGTTGATGTCACTGGAGAAATCCTGTTTTGTGGCCAAACCAAGGCCAGTTGTGCTGTGTGTGCTGCAGGGATCTGACTTTCCCTGAGTTGACATTTGGGTTTCAATTAGTTTCGTGTTTTCCACTCAGCCTGTGCAGGTCAGTTCGGTCCCACTGGAGTTAGCTCAGGATGAGCTGACTCTGAGCTTCACAGAAAGAAAAGCTGAACTCAGAGCACACTTGGGAGGAGCTTTTGAACCCATGTGGCTCTTTGCCTTTGTGCTTTCCTGACGAGAGTGTCCTTTGCCTCAATGACTGTCTGAGGACATGAACAGACTATGGCCATTTTCTGTCTTCTTTTGTACTTCTGACCTTAAAGCCAAAGACTCCCAGCTCTTGTGCAACCAGCCAGATTTGTTTTAGAGGCACTGGAATTATTGGGATAAGTAGGAGCTCTCTTTTGGGGAGAGGCTGTGAGAGGAGGGGAAGATTGGAAGAGCTTTAGCAGTCTGGGAGCTGTGACCACAGTACAGCTCTGCAGAGCTGCAGGGGAGCCAAGGAGGGTGGATACAAACACAGGGGTGGAACCTGCCAGTGTGTGTGCCACGTCTGGGGCACACTGAGCTCATCAAACTGAGGTCAAAAGTACTGGGACTCAGAACTGAGAGCTAGAATGAGTGAACTGTACCTATCGGTGCTCACTGGAGGCTCTCAGAGCACATCACCTGGGCCTTTGCCAGTGAGAGATTTTCCATGAGATCAGCAAAGACATTTCCTAGGCTTTGTGCCTAAATTATGGGTTTAGGGTTTAGGGTTTTTTTGATACACAACGTTATGTTGTGCTTGCAGCTAAACTGCTAAGCCCCAACACTGCACATGGGGAGGTCACTTCAGCTAGTTAAACCAGAGCTAATACAGTTTCCTACAGCTCAGGCCTCACCATGCAGGGAAGGGAGAAAGGTTTGCCTTGGCTCTTTTAATTGCTTAAGTAACATTGGTAAGACAAAAAGTTACACAGAGAGGACACCTCATCAGGAAATGTGTCTTTTACCAAAAAAACCCTTTACACACACAGTCTTAGCTTTCCAACTTCCACACACCATATTGACACAGCAACTGAACGGAATTATTGCCAGGAACGCTGAATAGCAGTTCATTTGGGCTGTTACATCCCAATGTAAATTGTGAGGGATCTTTTTCAACAGGGTGTTCAGTTGCAGTTGAGGTGAGGAACAAATCACAGACCTCTGAGCCCCACATGGATTTTTACAGTTAGTTGTCTCGTTTACCTCTCAGCATTGCTTTGCTGATGGAGCTGAAGGTGCTGGAGCTCAGGTGAACAGCAGACAAGGTCTCCCTGAAAGAAAGAGAAGAGCTGTGTGAAAATCGGGTCTCAGGGAGCAGTGTGACCCTGCCGGGGACACGGCAGCGTGTGATGGCTGAGCCACAGCCCCACATGCCTCTCCCTGCCCCCGAGCACAGGCTCTGTTTTCACAGAGCTCAGTTTAGGGCTGACAGGGGATGGGGGAAGAGGAGTTGGTGCTTCCCAGGGGTCTGTGTGTGCCAGGGCAGCACAGCCCTGGGCAAGGCAAAGCTCGGTGCCCGGGGCTGCCCCGGGGGCACTGCTGTGCTGCAGTGAGGGATGGAGCAGGAGGGTGAGCAGGGACTGTACTATTTGAGTTACTCATCGCAGTGAGGTGAGGAATAAAGCGCTAAATATATTATCATCGAGCCTGTCCCAGGCTGGCCTGGCTGCAGGACAGCCCCGGGGGCACTCGGGGGGGGGTCTTGG